CACAGTACCTGGTCATCAGTGCAGTTTACTCCAACAAAAATGGTAGAATCTGAGCGTGGTAAGCATTCTGAAACCAAAATGCTAGAATCTTAAGAAAGAGATTTTCAATTGAAGTAACAAGAAAGGAGAGAACAAAATATCATACTGGTGGAGTTCCTACACTGTTTCTGAACTCTCCTTGTCTAGGACAACAGTACACTGTTTCTCTGGACTAATGCTCACCTAATTGCACTTGTGGAATCATATACTGAAACTGATAAGGCATCTTGTTCTGTTTTATAATAAATAAATTACCGTGATATGTCAGCTTGCTACAAATGATTGCATTCACCACCTTTTTACGTGTGACCACAGACAAAACATACTTGTATTAATAATATCTTCTTTGTCTTTGAAAGTTCAGACATGGTATCTTGTGCTGTTTTATGATAAAAGAAATTACCTGGATATATCAGCTTGTTACAACCGATATGCACTCACTTCCTTTTTTTTTTACCTGGAAACACATAGAAAATATACTTCCGCTTAGGAATGTCTTCCCTTCGTCCTTGGAAGTTCTCAAGTTCATATGTGTTATTTCTGTTGCAGGTTGTAGTATTTGAGACCAGGGCTAAGACTCCTCAAGGCCTATATGCTCTTGCGAAAGCATTATCTCAAAAAGGTGTTGCGAAAAAGATACAGGTTCCAATTCTCACCCTTTCTTTATCTAGCGGCAATAATGTGGTCTCTGGAAGCCTCATTTTCTTATGTGAAAGAACTACCATACTCCGGAGGGTTTCAAATTTCTTTGCCAGGCTTCCTGCTAGTGGCCGTACAGTTTTCAAGTTTTTGAATTTTGATTTCCCAAATGTGAACTTCAGAAGTCAAATTGATCCAGTTCTATTTTTTTGGGAATGCACATGGAATTCTAAGTGTTATCATGAAGGATCTGATGTTTTATGTCATGCAGTACGGGAAGTATTGCATGCAGCTTTCGAATAGCACCATCAAGATTTGCAGCATTCATAGCTATTATGCATCAACCTGATAAATAGGAGATTATCCCAATGATTCTCTGGTTAATAATAATGTATGAACATTGCGCTTGGGTACGATGTTTGCTGGAAATCAGGTTGATGACAACATTCTGAAGTAATGTGGAAGCAAATATGGAATTCCTTCATTTGCTAAACTCGTCATTCAACCAGTAGAGAACAAGGAGGTTGTTAACATGCTTTTGAACATGTTGCGGAGAATTGAACTCAATATTTATTTTTTTGAACAGGGCTTGATATTTTGAAGTGGTGTATAATTAATGCGTGCGTGCAGGGAAGTGGCTATGGAAGAATACTGTTTGGTCCTACTAGATTTCCTTACCTTTTGGCTTCTGAGAAAATGTGCATGTGAATAGAGTTTGCACAACCTTCTCAGGACACTAACTGCGCACGAGAAACACAAACCGCCTCTTGTTCTATCCCTATATTTGTGCGAGCCAAACTATTGATGATTTTCTTGTCCATTGGAATTTGGCTACTGGAGTTTGAAATTCAAGCTCGAACCGGCTGATTTTACCAAGCTATTTGTTGGCCAGGATCCTTAGTACTTGCCAGTATCTGAATCCCACTCGTAATGATAGCTTCTAAAGCAAGAAAACATGTGGTATTTATTATTTTCCTGATAATGGAAAAAAGCCCAATTGTTCCAATTGAATTACAATATGGGATGATACATAATCCACCTTCGAAGGTTGCCAAATGCTATCGGTTGAGTTTGGAAGCTAGCACCGTTCTGTTCTGCAGTTGTCAGTTGGTAATGATGTTAACTTTGTTTCTTGGCAGGTAATAGCAAAGGCCCGTGTGCCAATCGTAAAATTCATGGAAAGAATTAGTGGAATACCTTTTGACATCAGGTTAAATTTTGTTTTCTCATGTTTTATAGGTCTCCCTCCTCCCTCTTACTAAGTTGTACAAGCGCTTACTGTTATGATCTTCTTTTCCTTTTCCAGCTTTGATATTGATGGTGGACCACAAGCAGCGGACTTCATCAAGGTATCTATTCCAATAAAGGACTGGGCACTACACTATGGAGGGCACACATACTCTTTTGTAGCTAATCTTTGACAGACATATGATCATATATACTTCTAATCATCTATGTTGCGGTCATACTGAAGACAATTATATTTTCCATTTTGTACCAATAGGACGCCATCAAGAAGATGCCTGCTTTAAGACCTTTGTGTATGATTCTGAAGGTTTTCCTTCATCAAAGAGAGCTCAATGAGGTACACAACTTAAATTGTTATTTCTTCACTCCATAGTGAAAACTCAGTTGCTTGGAATTGTTGCGTCGACAGAGATTTCTAATGATTGCTTCACTCTGGTCGGTAGGTCTATACTGGTGGGGTTGGGTCATATGCTCTTCTCACAATGCTGATCACACATTTACAGGTGAACTGAGTTCTGTTTTATCTGCATGTCCTTGCCTCACTTTCTTAGCCTCATGGCACATGTGTTATACACTCGTATTTTTTAGCTAAACTTGCCACACTTGTGCCTCCATCATCCACAAGTAAGCCTTGTTAGCCAAAAAAGTTTGGCATTGCTTTAGTTATTTGTCTTGTGACATATGCTTTCCTTCAACCCAATAGTTAAAATAAATTCTATTAAAACAAATTCTTAAATAAAGTCCTAATGCAGCGTCGGTACTAAGCCACATCACCTTTAGTAGCCTTCGTATTAAACTTCATTGTACTTAATAATCGGGTCATAAGTTGCTAAGAGGTGTTTAAAATAAGGAATGTTTTAGAAATGATGTTAGTTATTAAACTCCTTGTACTATATTCATGAAGGATATGCAATTCTTTTCATACATATATTTATCATCTAAAGGATTATCCTTTTTGCTAGTTGATCTGGGGAGTGAAAGATATGCTGGGCTATCGACAATCCAAGGAACACAATTTGGGAATTCTTTTGGTAAGCAATACCTTCCTAATGATTCATGGTAATGAGATCTTTTAAACTTTGGTATTTATCTTATGTAAAGTTGCACTTAATAGTCACTGGTTCTTCATATGCACCAGGATATATACCAGTGCACACATGTGAAATGCCTGTTTTATCTTCTTTTTGCTACTTTTGGATAAACTTGCATCACCTTTGATATGATGGGGAAACATATATTATCTTTGTAATGATGGAGATACAAAACATGGTTGCAACCCTTCATACAAATTTATGTTTTCTCCATGTCAGATCAAGTTTTTTGACTTTTATGGACGCAAGTTGAACTATACGGATGTTGGAATATCCTGCAACTCTGCAAGAACCTTTTTCTTAAAGAGTGATAAAGAGTAAGACAACTGATTTTATTTGTATTATTACTCCCACATCAGTACTATCTCTACTGTGATGTCCTGCTGTTCACTGATCCTATTTCTAATCTGTTTTTAAAGCTTTGTGAATCTTGACCGACCACATCTTATAGCCATTCAAGATCCCATGGTAAGATCATTTTCCTTGTTCATTTTGGTTGAACTTGATAATTCGCAGTAGCAGTGTGTTTACCTATTGAAATTATTTCATGGCCTAGGTACCAGATAATGATATCGGGAAGAATTCCTTCAACTACTTCAAGGTAGCTTTCTAAAGTTCCTATCTGTCTTTGTGCACCTCTTTGTCTATGATGCTATGAATAATTTGATGCCACTCATTTAAAATTTCATAATGCTGTATGTTCTTATGGATAACGAATTAACAATTGATAAAAGTAATCTTATTTTAATTCGCTGATTATTTTACTGGTTCCCGCTGGCGGTTTGATTCGGTTTGATCCTTCCTTGCCTTCTTAGTGTTATTCCAGTAAAGTGGCTGTCTGACATATCACGCACTTACCAGAATCCTAGCGTTTTCTTCAGTGATGAATGGCCCAGAATGGTTACTCAATCTCTGTTTGCAACCTGGGGCCATCAATCTGAACTTATCTTTGGGCATAAAATATTATGTGCTTAAATTTGAGTATCTGCGTCTTTAATGTTGGATTAAATACGCTAGGTGTCTCTAGTTTGGTTTTTAATCAACTACCACAAGCATGCATGAGTAATTCACAGCAAACCTGTCTTGATAACAGTATATGACACTTCGCCCTTTTCTTGCCAAATGCTCCAGTTTGTTCGCTTAATAAGTGAAACTTCCATGGATTTGGAACAATTGTAACTAGGCTTTGATGTCTGAAGTGCATTTGCTATCTTTGACATATCTATACCACTATAGAGTGTGTGAATAAGTTTAAATATGGATCGTTGGATGAACTCAATCCGACGGTCAAGAGATGGCAAATCCAGGCGTTACTGACCATTCGATTTCCTATCAATTACATCAGATCTGCCATGTGCATTATCTAGAAGTTTTCAATAATTAAAAACTTATTCTAGAATCTTCCATGCATGATCTTGCTCCATTTGAGTTTCTCGCTTGAATAAAGGTGTATCCATTTATGATTTAGTCTAGATCTTCCATGCATGCTCTTGCTCCATTAGAGTTTCTCGCTTGAATAAAAGTGTATTTGTTTATGAGATTACTTGTGAATTTTTACTCAAGATGAAAGACTTCTTATCAACCATTTCTTACAGTCCATATATATTTTCAGAGAATTTTAATCAAATGCTGCAACACTATCTTGGCATATTCATGAAATTTAACCATGTAGCACTATGTAGCTAAGGTTTTCCTTTTTGTAACAAATTTGTATCCTGAACTTCATGCACGTAATATGTACATGTCAGTTGTCTGTCAACATTGTGTTGTAACGATATCTCACAACTCATGTGAAAAGCACGTGCAACTCACTAGTAAAAAAAGGGCCCCGATAAATCCCAAACGTTCGGATTTTAAGCATGTCATCCCAAACGTTTTTTGATGGCAACTGTTGACGCGAGGTGGCAACTTTAGTTGTTATAACATGGCAACTTTGTCCCAGTTCGTTTTTTTGTCAGAAAATTGCCATGTTTGCCAACCTCGTGTGAACTAAAGTTGCCATGAAAAACGTTTGGATTGCCATGCTTAAAATCTCAATGTTCGGGATTTATCATTTCCGTAAAAAAAATCTACATGGCAACATGACATATATCTGATGAAGATACTTGATTCATGGTACAGGTGAAATCAGCATTTTTGAAGGCTTATTCAGTGTTAACTGATGGCAAGTTGATTACAAGCTTGGGACCAAACAGGAGCATTCTGGGAACCATTGTCAGACCGGATTCGGTGCTCCTCGACCGTAAAGGCTGGAACACTGATAGTGTGTTAGCTGACATGTTAGCAGAACCCTGGGAACCGTTGCCCCAACGGTTTGACAGTGAGAATGACGCATTGTATAACTGGCACACGTTAGACGATGATGAACCACTGCCCAGAAACACTCAACCTGCATCTGAGGAAACTAGTTCATCACCACTGGGGAAACGCAAGTCCTCCAAGTCAAAAAAGAAATCACAAAAGAAGGCGAAGGCTGATGCATCAAGCAGTGATGATAATGACAAAGAGGGGTCCAGAAGCAGAAGAGAACAGAGTCGGGGTAAAGGGTCGGCACAAAGTGAAAAATCGCGTCGCAGTGGGGGAAGCAGCCGAAGAAGGAAAGGGACGCGAGAGTATGACAGATTTACAAACACACTCCCACAGTACACGCACATCAGCAGATGGTGAGTCGTGTGCTGCTATTGATAGCTTTCGCAGTCTGTTTTCGGAGGTGCCGCAGAATTTGACGGCGGGAAGAGCATTGTGACACCATGGCAGTCTGTTTTCGGAGGTGCCGCAGAATTTGACGGCGGGAAGAGCATTGTGACACCATGGCGGCATGCTACCAAACATTTAAGTTAGCAGCAGTAGTCGGATGCTCAAATGTGTTGTGCTATTTGTTTTATTAGTTTACTATCCAGTCCTTGTAATGCTGAGCAAACCGAATTTTCAATTATATTTTTTGAATCAGCAGTTTTACCGAGCCGCACCGTGATCGCAAAGTTGTTCCAGGTAGTAGTATTTGGTTGTTGTGATAAAGGCTTCAAACTTTTATATAGCATCTACGCTGCCATAGCGAATTGATCAGTGTCATGTAAAAGACTGGAGTCTCTTTTCAAGACAATAAGGCCAAAAGAAACTTCTGAACAAACTTGGAATAGCCTGCAGTTGCCTACCAATCACACGCACTATATGCAACTAGCAACTTTGCTTCTTCTTTTTTTTTTTTGAGACTCGTAACTTTGCTATGAACGACCAGTCTTATTGTCCCGGACATAAAATCTTGCTCTGTTGGCCCAAGGAGCAGTAGCTGGAACAGTGTTACTAGCAAGTAGTGGTTGTTCAACATTTTTGCACTCTACAGTTTTTTCTACAAGAGAGACATTTTTGCACTCTACAGTTTTTTCTACAAGAGAGAAGTTCCGGCCGTTATTTTCCAAAATCACAGCAACATTTGCTTTCTCCAGTGGCAGTGTTCGCACACATACTGCTTATTCTGAGGTGTTAAAAAGAAATGCTACATCTGAAACGCAATTATGGTTTACGAAATACTCCCTCTGTAAACTAATATAAGACCTTTTTGAGTTTTAAAAAATATATAAGACCTTTTAGGTCAAGGGAGTAGTTATGGGCTATTGATAAGTTAATTTTGAGATGCCAGATACATATACTCCCTCCGTTCCTAAATACTCCCTCCGTCCGGAAATAATTTTAGTTATAGATACATCCCTTCTTATCCATTTTGATGACAAGTATTTTCGGACAGAGGGAGTACAAGTCTTTTTAGAGATTCCAATGCGGACTGCATACGGAGCTAAATGAGTGAATCTACGCTCTAAAATATGTCTATATACATCCATATGTAGTCCTTATTGAAATCTCAAAAAAGACATATTTATGAACAGAGGGAGTATATCTCAGTTCTTTTCTTCTTTACTACTCTACATGCTACAAAACCCCAAATAAAAAAAATATATGGCATGACAAGACTACATAAACTGTGGTAAACCGATATTTAAACAGCGGATAAGATGATGTAAACTCGTCATATATTCATATCGCAAAGGCACAGGTTCATCGCCAACTGTCGGTTACAAGCAAGATATGTCCATTAAAAGTGAGGACATACGCCAGCATCATCACTAGACTAATCTATCATTCTTATTTCAGATTGACCCTTCAGCAGAAAAAAGAGTAGAAGGATCTGTACCAATCTGCTGGCTAATAAAAAGGAAGCCAGATGAAATACCCGGGTGAGAGCCGACAAGCTTCCAGCTATAGTCATGGAAATAAGTTTTGTGGTAGCAATGAAGTACCCAATAACTGCCCATTCTGCACTATGCAGGCCAGTCTCGCGGGGATGTAACATTGCTACCAGCATTGAGCTTATCAACCATGTTACTGGAGTCCGCAGTCACCACTGGGAGCGTCATACTCCCAACTAGATCATGTGGATACCCTACTACACTGGCCGTTTCGAACATACTTCCATATGGATTCTTATGCAAGATTTGTGGCCCCAAATGATGAAACGCCATAGGAGCTGTTGCCGAATGCTGGGGCAGAACAGCAACAACAGTTGCAGGACTCTCGGCAGGATTCTTATATGTGGCAGTGTAGGCTCGGCCACTACCCTGAACAGCATATGATGCAACGCTGCAGTGGCTGGGCTTGCTTGGTTGAGGTGGGCATGAGGCCTGGCTCTGTGTTTGCAGTTGCTGTGGCTGTTGATGTTGGATATTATGCTCTGCCGTGGGAAGCAAAATTGTGTTGCCTTGGCCATAAAACGAAGGCATGACTTCATGATGCTTCTGCTGGGGTGAAGAGTATGGAGACTGCCCAACCAAACTTCTCGGAAGTGGCTCAGTGGTAGCATTGGCAGGCTTCTGAGAAGAGTATTGAGGATACATGAGTGTGACTTGAGGAGTACTTTGAGCATGAGGAGAAGATGTTTTCTGTTGAACCATCTGCGGTGGGACTTGCTGAACACTGTAGTGCTGCTGTTGCGCGACAGGGGGCTGTGATCGCCATGCCTGTGACTCGTGATGCTGAGCAGGCATTTGTAGCATATGATGCTGCATTGGAGGGTACATTTCCGTTGGCTGACTAGATTTCTGAGGTAGCTCAACTGCAACCCTGGCTTCAGAGTTCTGGACATGCGGCTGCATAACCTGAACAAAAGACTCGGATGGTTTGTTATCTGCGCAGTTCACTTGATTTTGGCTTTGCATATAGTACACCGCAGCTTGGCTCGGATGTTGCTGATCATGTTGTGTGCTCAAAGAGACGGGCACAAGTTGCTGCAGAATATAACCACCACTACTTTGGTTCGGCATAGCAGGAGACTGCATCGCATTAACTTGGTGAATTGGCACAAAAGAGACCTCAGGGTTGGCGAATTGTGTGCTCTGATCATTGACATTTTCCCTTGCAGCGAGCATCGACAAGGCAGTGGCTTCATTTGTTCTAGCAGGGAATTCATGCGCTATTTGAAGTTTGGCCAGTTGCTGCGGCTCATGCTTATCCTGAAGCATCTGCACAGCTTTCTGAACCTGGTCAACAGAAGAAACGATTGTTCAGCTCAGAAGCATATTCTTAATGCAGCAAAAATGATCCAAATCTCACGAGAACAGTAAGTCCGACTCCACCGTACGTAGTTTAAGAATAGCAGCCTGTGAAAATGTTCCGCTGAAGTAACTCCTTAAGCACCACACAAGACAAACGTGAAACGCAAATGCTCAATGGTGAAATCTGCCTCAACTAATTGGGTACTCGAGAGCAAGGCATTTGGCAGTAATTGGCTGGGCGTGCGTGGATCTGAGGGCAGAGCAGAGCACGCACCTGTCTGAGATTCTTGTCGAGGCAGCGGAAGTTGACGGTGCCCTCGCTGTGATAGTCCATGACGTCGCTGCGCAGCTCCCCGATGGAGCGCTCGAGCTTGTAGCAGTAGAGCTCGAGCTGCGAGAGCCTCCCGCCGATGCCCTCGAGCGAATGCAGCAGGCCCTCGGCCTGCTTCCTCATGCACTCCTCGACGGCCGCCATGACGGCCTCCTTGGGGTAGCCCTCCTGGCCGTACACGTTGACGAACGTCCGCACCAGCTGCCTCTTGTCCTGCGAATCCTGCTTTCCCCGCCCACACACGCATCAACCCCCGCCTCAGAAACCCCCCGAGATCGAGGGACCTCGCGTGGTGGTGGTAGTAGTAGGGAGATGGAGGCCGGCAGGCAGACAGACAGAGAGACAGAGAGACAGGACGTACCTCGGCGCGGCGGCGCGTCTGGTCGAAGGAGCAGCGGGCGTCGGGCGGGAGGCCGAAGGCGCCGGA